CTTCCAGATGACAGCACTCTTGTCTCCTTGAGTTTTGGAAATATTTCCTGTGTTTGGTTGCAGTTGCCGCCTCTCATATTGTACACACGCTGACAAAGATCTCTTCCAGTTACTCTAAATAAACCTGAAGGGGAGTCCTCGCCATCTCCATCTCATTTCTGCTGTGTTTTGACTTTCAGGCCATCTCGCGGTTGTGTGATGACAAATACAAGGACTTGAGGAAACAAGCCAAGAAGCGGTCGGTAAGCGCAGACAACCTGGCGGTGGTGCGGTGGTGTCCGGCCATCATTTCCTAACACTGGCCGCCTGGAGCACTGGGATAGACCTGTCAGACATACTGTACTGTATTTCTGCCTGGTAAGCAGGCAGACCAGGTGGGCAGCAGTCCTGTGGATCAGTGGGTCTGTCTGGAATACACACACGATACACACACACACACACAATCTGTACAAGTGATTGCACCCTCTCTGGTCATTGTACATAAAAGAAGTCCCACTGGCTGCCTGAACTGAACCAAACAGAGCTGAGCTGAACCAAACGAAAGTGTGTGAGTGAAAGTTGTTGGAATGACGAGCTCGACTGCAGAAGAAAGAAGAGGCCGCACAGAAATACAGCCGGCAATATGAGAGACTGTGTGAAGTTGGAAAAAGAAGATATTAATGCGGAATATAACAGATTGGCAACAACGTTCCATAATTCCCTCTTAGGCTCGACTGGCTTGTACGATTGATTGAGGGAGGCCGTGTACATTCCTTTAATTTGAATCTCCTGCTTCAGTTTCTTAGCTGAAGCATGAGATTTTTTTTGGACAGCTTACAGGCACATTTTAAAATGCTCAATTCCTCAATTTGTGTCAATGTTTTGTTGGTGTTTATCTGTTATGTTGCATTCCCATCCAGCAGAACCCTCTGCTAGTGAATCCAAGCATACACAAAGGAAAGACATGTACATTCCACCGTTCACTTAAATGTACAGGTAATCGATTTGACTGGACTACATATCATAACCCTCTGCAAAATATTCCACAAGGTATTCATTTACATTGTAGCCATTTAACTTTTTAATTCAGAGAGCTAACGCTGAAAAAGCAAGTCAGTGTTTAGCTCAAGGACGCTTCGACAGGACCTGGGAATTCAACGTGTACTGTTCTAGATACAGAACAGCTTCTCTCGCAGCAAGGCCATCCAGCCACCATTCAAATACAGCTATTCACTTAAAGCAATATTCATGCATTGCTTTGTTGTTGTGATCAAATACGATGAAGCGTGCATACTCGGGAGAATACTGACTGAAAGACACTTCACTACTCTCAGTCACATTTGAGACATACTGTAGAGCTTATGTTGTACTTAACTCACTGCCATTGTCCTGACCTGTGGTGCCTGTAATAAGCTAGTTTAACACTTCTCCCCTCTCTACTGGAGGAACAGAACAAATAACTGAAGTATTTTTTTTCCTTAACATTTTGTATGGTTCTTCCAGCTTATAAAGAAACAGCACAATGGAATATTTACATTTAGGGGCCACTAAAAGCATGATTCTTCAGGGGTTTTTTTTGTTCTGGAGAGGACCGAAATGTATGAAAAAGCATTAAGCGACAATTCAAACTCTGCTTTCAAAAAGATAGATTGTATACATTTTGCTAAATTGTCTCTGTACAGTGTAAATACAGCGCCAGTGTGCAAAACCTGTAGACTGAGGTCGTACTGTAATAAAACAGAATGATGTTAGAATATTTATATTGGATCAGTTTTTACTGGACAGGAGGCTGGCAGTAAATATGTTTGATTCCTTGTACCTATGACAAATCAAGTAAAGACAAAGGTGGAGTATTAGGATTTAAATGGGAGACACCACTTAAGATTTTTTGTCTGTTTTCTTGTTAGGATGTTTTTCACTCTGCAGAAAATGCCAAGTTTTTATGTGTTACATACTGTATATGGTATATAGATAATACAAGACAATTCAGGCTTATTATATGGTTTGTCATTTTTGAAGATTTTTTTAACCCCACTCTGTGGAAGCGTTGCCAGATACTTATCAGTTGATAAAGTAAAAACAACTTTATTTTGCTCCTCTTTATCTTTCAGTTGCTCATTTTATTATATTTGAGCTCATTCATTTCCCTATTGTTTTGGTCTTGGCACACAATAAATAATTTATCTGCCCACTATTTTAGTAAAGCTAACTTTGTTAGCGTTAGGTTGATGGCTAAAATGCTGTTACAAGAGTTTATACAGAGATTCTACAGCAGTAATGTTTATGGATGATTAATATGTGCACTGGCTGGTCCTAGTTTTAGAAAGAGATTTAGCTTCAGCTGCGTAGCTAGCTGAAAAGACTAGTGCTCACTGCATGGATGTATTGAAGGACCTAGATACTCAAAGATGCCACCCACTCACTTCAGTGAAAATTGCCCACCTGGCACATGAGCCTAAATAGTTTTTCATCTTCAGGGTTTGCTTGCGTATGGTGCGACCCACTGCACGTGCACATCAGTGTGTCATTATCATTAGTGTTTCTGCCACTGGCCTCGTGTTCTTGCTCACAAATATGAAACATCCATAAATTAAACATTCATGATACAAAGAGTAATAACCAATCTCTTAATACAGCCGTGATTCTGGCACTAGTGTTTCTCTGTTCTAAATAGCTCCACTGATGTTACACACATACATTCTTAGTGAACAAATAAATGATTAAATATATGCCAAGGCCAAAAATACAGGAAAATTAAAGAGCTGAGATAAATAGACGGGTAAAATAAATTAAATTGATTTACTTTATGAACAGATTGGCAGTAAAGGATCATGTGTTCAGTACTATCTTTACATTTTCTGAAACCTTTTATAACCTATTGGCAGTTTTGGTCCGCAGTTTCATGCATTTACAGGGAATAAATGAAACTGTCGAACAGGTTTTTCATGAAAAAACTTAAATCAGAAACATACTGGGATGTAGTCGCGGGTAAGCCTATGAAATCACTGAGTTATATTGGGTTACTTCATTCTAGTTTTCACACTTGAATGGGTTGATAAAAGTGTGAAGTAATACTTCTATTATAAAAAACGTTGTAATAGTGGTTGTTTGCCTTATGATCAACTGGACTTACATTTTCCTCAATTACATGACTGAATACACAGTAAACAGTATGTATCAAAATATTGTGACATAACCTGGAAGTGTCTAAAAAAAGACATTTTTTTAGATGCATTTTTCTTCATCACAAATGTGACAATAGCGTACCCTCCTTCAATGCTATAGGTTATTTTGTACATTTCATTAGCAACGTCCACGTCTGGGATTTGGTTCTGTTGTTGGTCAAGCTACTAGAGAATCAGGTCGGTCAGGTCAGTGAGACCCTGAGCAGCAGGTGTGAGGAGGGACAGAACCGTACCAAAGGAGAAGTGAAGGCCGATGCTGTTGCTCCACCCCGGCCCTCTTGCACATGAAGTATATGAAAAGGGTGTTGGGACTTGGGAAGAGAACAGTTGTTTTGCATGGTGCTTTGAATGAGTGAAAAATAAAGTGCAAAAATGTGTCCTTAGGAAAGTAATGTTACTGGAGTTGCTGTTGTGAGTTCAAACTGTTAGAGGTGTTCAAAGATTGTATATCCTATTTATTGTATGTGTGTGCATACAGCCCAGTCTGGTGTTTTCTTAGACCCAGAAGTAAGCGTTGATAGCGTTGATGCCGTGAGGTCAAACTATGGTGAGTCCTGAGGTGGGAAATTGACTCCGACAGTGAAGACCTTGGGTCTGTGGCGTCCTGTCGGCTGGTTAACTAGGTGTGTGTCATAGCCTTGTGCACTGAACTCTACCTCTGCATAGAGTTTTACTTTTCTCTTGATTTTTTTTCTTCCTCTCTTTGACAACAATTTTTGAATTTCACAAATTCAGCTTTGATCATGACGATTTCCCGTGCTAACATCAGTCAACTGCTGTAGCTGTGACCTATTTTTTTTTTTTTCATTGATTGATATTTTCAACAAGTTGTACTGTATTCTGTTGTGTTGTTATTGTCAGTGTATTATTTTCCTTTCAGTAAGTCAGTCATTCTGTTCCCGTTCTCAGTTTGCCAAACTCAGATCTCTCTATCTCGGTTCTCTTTTCCTCTGTACTTTTTCAACTATGATTTATAGAACTTCTCCCAATCTTCTCTCTGAAGCAATGTTTAGAAAACCCTGTGCAAGAATTAAACTTAAAAACCTTGCAATAAACCCAGTGCCTGTCTCTTGTTTAATCTAAAGGATCAGTTCACCCAAAGTGGAAGAGGTAATAGCAATACACACACTTCCTCAAACAATCATTCATGGTGTCCTCATGAGTGCTTCACACACTGCTATCACAATATTTCGATATGTTCTGTATTATACGATGTGACTCAGCGGGGTTTCTTCTCCCAGAAAGAACCATTTAAATGGCTTAGAGCAAGTGGTAATACAGAGATTACACTCTGCCATATTGTCACTGAGGGACACATTTAATCCTCTCGTATTAGCCTTGATTTGCATTTCAATCGCTGCTCTGGTAATTGCTATACAAGTCAATTGAATGCAGTGAAGAGGTGCTGTGAGCTTTAGAGAGGGTGATTGCCAAACGTCTCTTATGAAATACATCAAACATGTACATTAAAAATGTACACAGACTCACAAACTCACATTTCAGACAACATCTCTCGGGTTAATGAACTGTCCAGCTTCATAATCCATGCAATGTGGTCCAGATCCAGTCTGAGTGAGGACCCTCTCTTAAAAATGATAAAACCGAACACTAGGGAGTGCATGCAAACAATGCATTGGTTGCATGTGGTGGATGTACCCAACAGTTGCTTAGACCTTAGAGCATAGTAAAGCACAGATAAAGAGGCCTAGTAGAAATGGGTAAACTGCTATCAGTGTACAAAATAACGTGTTTGTTGTTTAGCCAAATTAATTTCTTTAGAGATGCTAAATAAGCAGCATGCTAGTATTATTGACAATATTTTGTAGCTCGCCAAATAAATTCTAGCAGTAACCAATTTACATCTCCCACAGACACGGTTCAGTCTCTCCAGGAAGTTGCGAGTTTGTGATCGCAGCAATTAACATAAATTCAACCAATCCCTGTGAATTCTGCCTAGCAATTTTATCCAATCACTTTTCTGCTAATTTGACCAATCGTATTTTCCTGCTCAAAACTTTGAGCCATGTGTCACCAAACTTTCTTGTTTCTAGTTGTGAAGATGCAGATGTGTGAGACGCAAAGCTCTCACATTTACAGACAGTTAAACAGTGATTTTATTCTCACTGGAACAAGTTGGCAAACATTTTTAATGAATTATACATACATATTATACATTATGCAGTTTTCAATTTTCACCTCTCCTGCAATTTCCTAGCACAAAAATACCTCAAAACATTGCCACCTGCATCGCAATGTTTTAGAAACACTGCGGTGAAATCAGACATTTAGGCCTCAAAAACCCACCAAAAAAACCACAAAATCCTAGAAGGGCTAACATTAGCCTTTGGAATTGTGTTTTTGGCCACCTGGCAAATGTAAATCCAATATTAATTCTCCCTTTAACTTTCTACCAAAACATATTCCACTATGTTGATCAGCTATTTGTTAACTTTGGGTAGCGTACAGCGACAGTGTGCGACTCCTGTCATATTACACACTGTCATTGTTCATATAAAAATATTGTTTAGCGCAGCTTTAAGATGATGAAACCATGTCTGATCCCTTAAGACTGCAGCATTACAATGTTCCACAGGTGCAGAGGGAAAAAAAATCTGCCACCCACATCCTATAAATCTTGTGATTTGTGAAGTCTCAAAGGCTTTCCTGTGTATGGAGTCCTTGGGTGATGAATTTGATCATGAAAAAAGAACGACCCTGATAGAGAGAAAATGCTGAAAAGGATCATCAGTTTCTCGTTTAATCACTGTCTTCCTGCCCCCTGGTGCAGTTTGTTCGCTTCTGAAAGCCTTCTGAAATTCTGTGGGAAGGCTTGTGTCACCCTGTGCATTGATACAAGGGACAGGCTTTTTAAGCACAGAAACAGAAACTAATTTTATGATTATGCTAATCCCCCATTGCTTATAGGGAAACGGGAAACGGCTGCAGAATCAGGTGGATGATCAGGCAATGACTGAGGCGAGAAATCTCCCCCAAGTAGAAGCTGATGGACGAGGGTCTGAAATCAAAGCATGGTTAGTATGTATGGAAATGGCATTGCTGAAGTTGGAGTCAAAAAGAAAGGGGAGGGGGCCTCAAACAGAGCCATGAAGGGCATTTGGGCTCTATTACAGACATAGTAATCCGCAAGCTGAAAGGAAGATATTCCTGAAAATAAACGAAGGCTCAGATTCTTTATGATTACATTTCCTCTGACTTTGAGGCAGCTTCCATCTGTGACAAAATGAGTAGAAGCAAATGAGACGGAAGCAGAGCAAGGACAAAGACTTCTTGCGTCCTTGCTTTGTTTCACAATGAAGAGTGATTATTGTTTATCTATCATTACAAACTGAAGACACCAGGTGATACGTTTCAAATAAAAGCAGGGTTTATCTGATTACTTAACACTGAATTCAGTAACTATAAACAATATGTAAAAGCTCTACAGCACGAGAGACGATAGTATAAGCCAAAAAAGGTCATATTGAGCAATGAAATGAAGATGTATTAAAGTTGTTTGTGCTAATAGCCAACTTCACATGTTGCTGTTATAAGGTATCTTAAATTAGTCATTTACTTTTATGGACTGTTCTTGGAATGGTTGCCCCTGTTTAGCTCACCCTGTGTTTACCTGAGCAGATGGTACGTTCCAGTTTAAATGAGGCTGTGGCAGTCACTCTGTAGTGGGAGTGAGGGGAGCAGTTTGCTGTAGGGCTGTGGCTTTCATTTTGGGGTTTTAGTTCAGCTTCAATTTTGAGTTGTTTTGCTTAACTTTGTAGGCTTCTTTAAAATTGTGTGGTCCATAATCACATCTGTTAATAAAATTCTGCCCTCACTTGTTCCCCCGATCCAACTTTCCCCAATGCCAAACAACATACTGCCCTTATATGGAATGTCAGCACTACACTGCCCATTTAAATGAATTGTAGGTGTAAGTAATTTTTTGTCCTGTGTTACCAAGTCAAAATTTCACACACTATCTATTTTCAACATAATTATATTCCCAATCTTAGCCTTGCCATTGATTCAAAATGAGCCATGTGGGATTATTACTGTGAGCCAGTATGGAAGTGCTAATGCATTGATCTGTAGTGATTAGGAGCCAAGCCGAGCTTTAGCCATGTGTCCCACCAGAGACCTTGTCCATGAGTGAGGATGGATGCAGTGTGTGAGAAGGAACTGATTTGTAAAGACTCTGTAAAATCTCTTCATGAGGGACGTCTGCACTATGACGTGCATTTGAAGTCAATTTAAAGTTTAGAATTAATTTTAAAAAAAAAATTGAACAGTGTAAGTCAGGTTCTTGGTCATAATATGAACTTCTGTTGTTCCTTGAGTTAGTAATTAAACCATGTTTTATTTCATATCCATATTAAATGACTATATAGTAGGTCCTTATCAGTCATAAACTTGCATTAGCTGTGGGGAACTACCATTTACGACCTACTTACATTTCATAGGAGCTAATCCACAGTCTGCATATCTACATGTTATCTTGATTCATAGCTGGAAGATGCAGCAGTAAGTGCTTGTATTTTTATGGAGAAGCCAGTTTAAACATGCCTGCCATTGTGCTTGAGAACTTAATACAGCAATTTTGAATGAGTAAGCCAGAAGGCTTGTTACCCTCCTGTAAGGACGACCAGCAGCACCAAAATATCTCTGCAATGCCAGGATGGGGACGTGCCTTTGGAAGTGTGTTAAGAATAGACCCACAATGGGGCTCGCTCCTGTCTTCTGTTGTATGAGAACAGACAGTTGTCTGCAGGGGACAGAGGTAGAGGTGATTTGCATGGTTTACTTCAGCCTTTCAGAGGCTTGGGTGACTCTAATGGATCTGATTGGATTTTACCTACCAGAACCTGGCACATAGTCCTTCTAGGAGAGAGAGAGAGTCTGACTGCTGACGGAGCTTTGTGTCTGTCAACCTTGAGGTTATTGTGCTACTGGAAACCACTGTGCCCCTTAACAGAAAGGGTGGAGGAGAAGGGGCTGAATAGGGAGTGAGGCACTGGCTTGAGGGTTTACTTAGCCTGGAAGATTAGAAGATTTTGGAGGCCCTTGAGCACAGCAAGCATGGTGGGAGCAAGTGCCTCTGAAGTCATCTTTATCTCTGTCAGTCACAGCATCACTTTGATGGGTGAGTTGACTTCACTGATACATTGATTGGTTTCTGGCCAATGTAGATAGAGTTCTCTTTATTTTGTTTGTGTGCAGTGAAATATTTTGGATTCTCTCAAACAAGCACTGTTTGCTGATTTATGCAAAATTTGCTACACCACACAGCTTAATTCGTATTGTCAAATAAGCACATTTTTTAATGCCAGTGTGCTTATTTTTCAGGGAAGGTGTGGCTCATTGTGATGATCTTCCTCCGTATCCTGATCCTCCTCTTTGCTGGTTATCCCCTCTACGAGGATGAGCAGGAGAGATTTGTGTGTAACACCATTCAGCCCGGCTGTGCCAATGTGTGCTATGATGTGTTTTCTCCCCTCTCTCTTTTTCGGTTCTGGCTGGTGCAGCTGATCACCTTGTGTCTCCCCTACATCATCTTTATTATCTACGTGGTTCATAAGGTCTCAAATGGCCTCACTGTGGACCTAAACTCCTCGGGTCATGTCAAAGCATTGCCGCTTTTCAAGATCCACCAGAAGCCATTTAACAAGACATCTGTAAACAAGATGACTCTGGTGGCTGAGCGAGGATTGGCCCAGTGCTTCACAGGAGCCTACATCTTCCATCTGATGTTCAGAACATTGCTGGAGGCAGGGTTTGGGGCAGCTCACTACTATCTTTTTGGTTTCTACATCCCCAGGAGGTTCCTGTGCCAGCATCCACCGTGCACTACCCAGGTGGACTGCTACATCTCCAGGCCCACTGAGAAGACCGTGATGCTCAACTTCATGCTCACTGTGGCTGCTCTGTCCCTTTTCCTAAATGTGTTGGATTTCTTTTGCGCCATCAAGCGCTCTGTGATGCAGAAGAGCAAGAGGAAGATGATGGTGGAGAAGATTTACGAAGAAGAGCAGTGTTTCCTTTCAGCCGGAGGAGCCTCCAGAGCAACAGACCTAATCGCTCAGCAGGATTTAGAAGTAGAGGCTGGTCAGACAGGGAGTTTTCGGAAGAGGCGAGGCAGCAAGGGCTCTTGCGGAGGTGGAGTTCTTGCTTTAGGTCCAGATCCTTCTCTTCCATGCTCTCCAGGACCTCCAGGGTGCAACACAAACGGGAACAACGGCTACTATGTTTCCCAAGAGGAGGCTTCGGAGAGGAATGGCAGTGATGTGGCTCTCTGCCCCCCAGAGCCGATAGGGACACCGAGATCCATTCGTGTTAGCAAACGCAGTCGACTCAAACCACCACCTCCGCCCAGACGAAACCTTGGGTCATCCCCTGGGGGGTCAGCTGGGCCCATTGGGGATGTTTCCACAGCAACAGCAATCTGTACCAGAAGGCTGAGTCAGTACACGCTGGTTGAGCTGGGTAGCAATGCAGAGCTACAGACCACTGATGATGGGCAAGAGAAAAGAGCAGAGTGGGTGTGACTGTGGGATTGTTTTATTTCCAGGTTTTTTTGGAACACAAGAATGGGACAAATAGGTGTGAGAGCAATATGAGAAACAGACACAAAGATACCCCAAGGCTTACACAGTGTGAACAACTGTTGGAGCTGACATCCTGCCACGCTGTCTACCTCATTGTACAATGCAGACTGCACTCTCTCTTAAGGAAAATTCAAAACGGCAGTGCGTTCACATGAGACATAATCACATTTGCTATTATTTTATCACACCATCAGATTATATTACCTTGAGGAGCGCCAGCTGAACGATGCAAAACAACAAAAATTCAAGTCAAGAATGCCAGGACACTCTAGCCTTCAGCGTCCTTGAAGAACCACAACCTCGAGAAAATCTAAAAGAGTCCAGCCCACCTGTTTCTTTCCTTATTGACTTTACCACCACCTTCCCGGACACACTGTCCATAAACAAAGACAGGCCTTAGCCTGTCCAACATATACATCCCCGACCTTCCACCACAGTCACACTATATGATACCAACACTGACCCCTTGTCTTTTGTGTTTGGGTCAGTGGGGTCAAAGGACATGGGTAGCCTCTAGGCCCTGTGCTTGGGTGACCTTTTGGAATAAGGTCAGGGCGAAAATGAAAGGCAATAACCTGGCTAAGGTGGTGTTACCAAGCTCATGGAATGGAATAGGATTCCTCCGTCAGAAGTGAAGGACACTATGAAGGCCCCTAAAGCCGACATAGGCTCACAAAGCAATTATGTTTCCCCATAGGGGCTCTGTATTTATGGAGACGGCTTGTCACTCTATTTCAGGGCCTCACTGAGCTTAGGAGGAATACAAACCTTAACATACGCTGCCACCACAAATAGAGCACAGCGGAGCTCTGTAAAGGAGCAGTGTTGCCTGTTGCCCTTCAGGAAATCTGCTCTCTACTTGCTGTGGCTTTGGTTTCACCTTGATCAAAGCTCAGATTAATGTGAGTCAGACACTAACTCCCACTGTGACACATGTCAATCATAGACAGTATCTTCAGTGGAGCTGCTGTAATGTTCAACTTGTTCCTGAAATGTTTCCAGTCTATTTTCATGAAATCTCTGGACTGCTTGATACAGATGATTGTGAGGAGACTCCCACAGTAAATCAGCAGCATCACCGTTGCATCTGCCGCTCTATAGCTGAGGGGCTAGTCTCTGTGCAAACGGATAGCTCTTGATCTTCCTCCTCTTGTGGTCTCTTTGAAGGAGACAACAAAAGCTCCTGGCTTCATATATCACCTATTTACTGAGTGCTGCACCCTGACTGTCATAAGGGTGACCACAGGGGGGTTTTCATCAGACCACAGCAGGTCTAATGGTGTCGCACCTCCTTCATACAACCAGTGTTTAGTGTAAAAGCCAAGCTGGACTGAGTTACACTTGCGGTCACTGAAACTTTGTACTGTAAGGTTTGGGTAGATTGTTAAACGTTCTGTTAATGTAAAATGGAGCTATAAGGAAGTGGCTTCTTAAATTATATATTTTGTTAAGTGCTGTTTTTGTTTTTGTAATAGATACAAATATTGAATAATCAGTGTTGTATTGAATTCCTTCATATTGCCATTTATTTTTGTGATTAAAATCCATCAGTGCCTAATTCCTATTACAAGTCATATTATAATAAAATTTTCTTGTTATCTCCAATATCAAATGAATTGATGTACATTTTCATACATAATTATATGTAAAATTAGTTTCTTTATAAAGGGGAAATTATTCGATAGTTTAATTGTTCTTATATTTCTGTGTTTCACTCATTGACTCTCAAATGTGATTCTTTAATGCGTAACAGTTATGGCTGTTCAGATCAGTGTTATTGAAATTATAAACTACTGCAGCATTGAAGATAATGTAACTTTTCAAAGCACTTTATTGTAACTATTGTTGTTTGATCCAGTCCATTGTGCTGTAGTCGCCTCACCAGCACTGTAGTTTGAATTCATGCTGCCCTCCAGTGACGCAAAATGTGAAATGCTGCCATATATTGAATCCAACACTTGAAAACAAATGCCCTTTGGTCTTGTGAGGACAGAATTTGATAAGTGAATAATTTAATTTAAATAAAACATTTTGGTTGGGATGCTTTATTTCATTAAATCAGATAAGAAAAGCAAATCTGGTAACCTCCCTAAAACCATTCCTGTGCTGCAGATTGCTGTTATTGAAGTGGCCTCTACTGACAACAAGAAGTAAATTATCACTTAATTTGCTCCCTTAAGCAGCAGTTGTTTTTTTTTGCCCTTTTGTTCATTTCAGGCCACCTAGCCACAACAGTAAATTTGGGACTTGGTGAGAGCCAAGGCACTCAGTTACAGATAATAAGCCACAGCTCGTGGGATATTATTGAGAGGTTTAGGGTTGCTCTTTTAAAATGCAGACATGTAAGTCAGACAGGCAGGGCCGGATTGACCTGTTATGGGGCCCCAGGGCAAAAATATACTGTGGTTCCCAATCAAGCCCCCCTGGTGTCCTGTTTAGAGTCACTGTCAGCCTTTTAAATATTAAACCCTGATTTTTGCCTAACCTGGAAAAACAAATAACAGAAGTTGTTATTGAACTTTTGGCTCTTTTTTCGTGTAACTCTGGCATAATTCGATTAAAGTCACATTTCTATAACAATATGCACCACTTTAAACTGGATTGAGTCCTTTTCTGGCAAGTCAGGCAAGAATGTGGATAACTTTGTTTGTTCCCTTAATGTGCCATTTAGTGTTGGTATGCACATTTTGTGGCACTCTATGCAGTGGTCAAAGTCAGGCCTTAGAAATCCTAGGTGAAAATGCTTTTGGTAAAGGTTGTCAGGGCCTGTACAGGTTGCTGTTTGTAATATGGAATGCAGAGAAATATAGCATGCATGCTAGCACAGGTGTGTCCCATGCTGCTGATTATGCTGCCTGACAGAAAACAGAGCAGCAGCAAACAGAGAAAGGGAAACTTGGGGACTGTCACAAGCAATGCTCATACTTGCTCTGTTGTGTCTTTCCACATGTCTGAACATGCTACTGCTTGCTCATTTACATTTAAACAGCCAGAAGAGGCAGGGCTGAAAGTTGAGCTACCCTTTTAAAAGCCAGCGGTACAGGATTCCTCTTTAAATCAGCTTAATTTGTTTGTTTGTTTGTTTCCTTCATCCTGCTATGCACCTGTGTTTTCTTCTTCATTCTCTGATTAAAATGTCAGAGACCAAAGACCTTTCCTCCAGGACCTCCTCCATTACCGATACTGGGGAACCTGTTGAACCTCAGCCTAGACAACCCAATGAGGGATTTTGAGAGGGTAAGAAGAACCCTGAAATATGACTCACACATTAGCTTTATTTGTTTTATCATGCTACTGATCATCAGCCACGCACATTGATAACAGTAGGCTGGGCAGTACACACAGAGTATTTAGTGTGTGTATTCAGCTCCATGGCAAAGTGGCTATTAGTGTGTTGTGTTACCTAATTAAATAGTCCAGATTATGACTTGCTGAGGAAATCCGTTGCTCAAAGGCTACAAGTGAATGACTATAAATAATATTTATTAATTTAACTAAATATGTTTGTAGGTTTTGTTCTATGGAATACATAGGAGGCTAAAACAAACACATCTGTGAAGGACACTGGTAAAAATATTTTTTATATTTTTTTTGCAAAGTTTGCAGTGTTAATATTTGTTTTTATGTGACATATTTACTGCTATTGGAACAGTTGTAAACTAGGCTGGAAACTAAATTTGACAATACAGACCGTTCACTCTAGAATACTAAAATAAGTTACACGTCTTAGTAGCTGCTTTTTGAAAAGTAAATCCTCTTCTTGGTTGTGAATTAAAAGCAGATCAATTGCATGTTGCATTTGAAAGTGATTCATGATCATTTCAAGAGCTTCTTACCGTGCTCTCCCCTAGCTGAGGAAGTGCTATGGAAACGTCTACAGTCTATTCATCGGACCCAGACCGGCTGTAGTCATTAATGGGACTCAGGCCATGAAGGAGGCCATGATAACCAAGGCTGCGGATTTTGCTGGACGACCCCAAGACATTTTTGTCAGTGACCTCACCCAGAAAGGTATGACCGAGAGGGGTGTAATAGGACAGAGTAAATATGTAATATCTTTTTACAATAAAACGCACCCTTGCTCATTTCGATATACTTTTCACTGCTTCAGCCTTATTGGTTTGGTATGACCTGTAGCAAATGGCGGCTAATGTTAGCAAACTTTAGATAGGCTACTACTGTGTTTTACTGCAAACTCAATGTATGCAATATATATACACAATATTAGCATTTAGCATATTGCAATTGCCATTTGTGGCTGCTGTTGAGCAAAAGTTACATAGTCTCACTTTAAGATACTGTATCAAAGCATCCATATGTCCATATCTACGCCTCTTATAGGAATGGTTCTGGCAGACTACGGTGCTAGTTGGAAGGAGCATCGTCGCTTTGCTCTGATGACCTTGAGGAATTTTGGTCTGGGGAAGCAGTCCATGGAGCAGAGGATTCTGGGAGAGATGCAGTACACAATGGAAAAACTGAAAAAGAGCATTGGTATGAATTCAGTGGGTGCTCTCACTGTGATCTCTTCTAACTGTGGTGAGTGATAGCACGTTGTTTATTATGTAAAGTCCTGACTATGCCGTGTTGTCATTGTTACATCTGTCACAGGTACAACCTTGAGTCCTCAAGTCATGTTCCATAATGCGGCCTCCAACATCATCTGCCAGGTTCTGTTTGGTACACGCTATGACTACGATGACAACTTCATCAAAGTGGTTGTTCAGTGCTTTAAAGAAAACTCCAAGATAGCTAATGGAGCCTGGGCTATGGTGAGTCACAACATGTTTGTAAGGTAACAATTTTAGCTCAGAAATATCAGACAGTGTGTTACTGAGAGAAATCGTGAGTATTTGATACAATAAAGTGTATAAATCTCTGATACTCTGCTGTGTTGGTGGTGAAAAGAAGCTAAAAAAACAAGTGACAGAACTATGCAAAAACACGTGACTTCAAAGACTACTGACCCTCTGTAAAATGTACATAAAATGGTGTCTCCTTGGAATTATATGAACTAGCAAGTGACTTGGCATCAACAAGTGACTGACCATCCATTATTTCTCCTCATAATCATTTTGATAGGGATGGACCAAGTGTGCTAAATGTTGTTTCTAAAGCAAGAGCAATGTTTAAACTGACATTAAAAGCTAAAACTGTAGTTTTAGCTTTTAGTTTTTTTTTGTCTGTACACAGACAATATCTGCTTAACTAAACATCTCACCTTTTTTCTTTCCACTTAAAACTGAAGGCAACTTTAAAAAACCTTTTTGTAATTCCTTCCAGCTGTATGACTCCGTCCCAATGATTCGAAACCTGCCGCTGCCCTTCATGAAGGCATTTAAGAACATTGAGGTGAGTGTATTCATAGTATTTCTTTTAATTTTTCCCTCAAAGCATGAGGTGCAACGCTGTCTTTTTTTATTACATTTGGAGTCACCAAAGTCTGAAATGTGAACATTTGGCTTTTTATCAAGAACGTTTTCATTGTCTCCTCCGGGAACTTTTTCGGTCAGTAAAAAGATAAAAAAATGTACATTTCTCTTGCAACTCGTCTGATCACTGAGCACAAAGAGACCAGAGTCCCTGGCCAACCACGGGACTTCCTTGATTGCTACCTGGATGAGCTGGATAAGGTGTGTGTCATGCAAATAAAGTTCATTTAAATAAGAGAGAGAGAACCAAAAATCTAAAGGATCTGTCTCCTCCCAGAGAGGTGATGATGGCTCCTCTTTCTGTGAGGATCGACTCATCATGTTTGTATGGATCTTCACTTTGCTGGGACTGACACTACATCCAACACCCTGCTCACTGGCTTCCTCTACCTCATGACCCACCCGCATATACAAGGTACATTGTACTACTGTGCTTTCAATCTAGCATCTATTCTTTTATTTTATTCATGTTACTGATTGTTTGACAATGTGTCAGTATGGTGTTCAGTTGTTTTACCCTGTTATCGTTTCTCCCTCTGTGTCTTTAACCCTTCCTATCAGAGCGATGTCAGCAGGAGATAGACCAGGTGTTGGAAAAGAAGGATCATGCCAGTTACGATGACAGACACAACATGCCTTACACGCAGGTAGATTATCAGACCTATTTCTCTGGTTTGTTTTGATATTTCATGTGGGTCTGAGTATAACACAAAACAACAATATAAACTGCTACAGATAGGGCTTCATTCACTGAGGAAGCTTCTCAACCGATTTTCTTTTTTACATAACTTTGTGGTCTAGTTTCTTGCTGTGTTGTTTTTAAAACATGGGAATAGCATCCTCATGACAGGTTCTCCTGCTACAAGCTTAGTGGGGTGTTTGTTGTGGCCCTGCACAGCCTGAAACATGACCCTCTCAGTTTGATAAAGCATAAGAACATATTGTGTAATTTCTTTTATTCTAGGCGGTGATCCATGAAGTCCAGAGGATAGCCAACACTGTTCCCCTTTAGTGTCTACCACTGCATAACAAAAGATACAAAGCTCATGGGATATTTCTTACCCAAGGTAAGACTAATGGTGGACTATTAATCAAGAAAATAAACATGCTTTTGCTGGAAAGAAAAGAACGTTTACCAGAACAAGGAATATAAACAAAAGAGAGAACAGAGAATTTAAAAAAGTAATAAATTAAAGTAAAGCAAAGAAAGGGACTTGGAAGCCAGTTGGTTATTTAATAATAGATCACCTTCATGACCCAGAAAAACATATGACATAAATGCAATACTTTACATTGATCATCCAAAACCTGAACTCGGTGCTGAATGAGGAAGGACAGTGGAAATTCCCAAATGAATTCAACCCGGAAAACTTCCTGAATGACCAGGGAGAGTTTGCAAAGCCAGATGCATTCATGCCTTTCTCTGCAGGTATGAGAGCCCCAAACTAGAGTGTTTATCTTCTATTCTAAGAACCGTACATGACTTACTGATTGAAATCGTCTCAGGTCCCCGTGTGTGCCTGGGAGAGGGTCTGGCTCGTATGGAGCTCTTCCTCATCATGGTGACTCTGTTGAGGAAGTTCAAGTTCATCTGGCCCGAGGATGCAGGACAACCGGACTATACCCCCGTCTATGGAGTCACTCTTTCTCCTAAACCTTACCGCATGAAGGTCCAACTCAGGGCCACACAGGAGGAAAAGTAAAGATTGTTCCAGACAAGTGGTCAATAACAAATACAGTGAAAAAATAATTTACATTTTACACCTTAAAGAAAGGAACAACATCTAGTTAATGGCTCCCCCAAATGGCAGAAGTGGGTACTGCATTTAATAGAATTCATGAACATGATAAATATGGCTCTGGATGTAATTGGGTCCTGTAGGTTGGAAAAAAATATATAATTGTATTAGTTAGTAAGGGTAATCAATGAGACTGGCGTAGTGTTTGTTTTATCAGACTGATTGGATGAACATATGTGCTAGGAAGTATACACTGTAGTTCAAGGAGGTAACTAAACTGTGACATTTTACAACATAATAATAAAATAAAGTTAAAATGCAAAAGGTTTTGTTACATTTTGTGTGGGTTTGATTTTACTCACTCATATATGACTATATGGCCCATTGAGTTAGTTTCTATTATAGCGTCCTGTAAGTAGTAATATTCATTTTCTTATCAGAAGGGTGACATCATACCTATTCCCGCTGAGTGCGGTCACATTTGTTGGACTGACGGCTTACCCAATGTAACCGTACTCACAGTGAATCTGGGAAAACACTCTGTGCTTCAGATGAAAGAAGTTTTCCTTTTGTGTACATGTCAGTCAGTCAGTGAAGGACTGAGGGAACACAGTGTTCTGCCGCTGTGTGTGTATGTGTGTGTATTTGGAGGTGGGGGGTCCTTGGATTGGAAGAGGCAGCAGGGGTGCACTGTAAGGACTACTAAACCACAGAGGCATTGTTACTGTGCCAACGGGGAGCCGGCCATTTATGCTGATATCTTTGTTAGGCTTAGTCATAGTGCTATTATATGACTGAAACAACATTCATTTTCCATTTTATTTATATTCGGCCTCAACCATCTTCCTTAACTCACCTTTTAAATGTTCAAACCAAACTGCTGTAGCTTTTGATGACGTCCAACTCCCTTAGAAACTATAAGCATGAAGCCTGATCGCTGAACCTCTCTATTTTCCAACATCTGCTGTCTCAAATGGCCAGCTGGGAACAATGTGCCTGGGCTGGGGGTCAGGAGCTTCAACATTCATCTAAATGGGTCACAGAAACCAGAGGTCACTGTTATTCTTTATGTATGGAAGAAGAAATCCATGGAAATTTAAGGTTTTAGTGCTGTTGTTCATCTTCCACTGACAATGTAATCTGGAAAATAAAGAGAACTCAGTCTTTGTATTTACAAAAATGTGATCACACAATACCATTTGCTGTACGTCCACAGCTAGAAAAACCTGTAAAACCGAAATAAAGGTTTTTTGCACATTTTATTCATCATATAATACATTGTTAAGTTGTGTTTTTGGAATTTAAGTTGTCATGCAGACAGTTTCTGTCCTGTGCTCTAAATTTAAAGTACTGAATATAGTCTGATATAGTTGTCTGTCATAATCTCTTATACAAAAACAACTAATACAGATCAGATGCTGTCCACAGCTGCAACATCTCCTCTCATGCTTTCAGAGATAAAAAACAACCTTCTCCCAGGTGTATTAAGGATCAATAGTATTAAAAAGCATGACCTACCCATCACCCCTCTATACTCTCTTCTGTGTCTGCCTCTCATCAAACGCTGCCATTAATATTTGATATCCAACCATGTCAGAATGTTCCTCCTGGCCGCACAAATTAGGCTTTAACACCTGTATACAGAGGGCGATCGAGAAAGAAGATGATTCAATCGGAGTAGCCGCACGGACGACCATCCCCTGTATTTATTTCTTCTTCTTCTTCTTCACCTTGGTTATACCTCTGCACCAATGCAGCCCGGTGATTCCACCTAAAACCGTTTGCATGATTGTTACAGGCCACAAGTGGAAGTCCAGAACAAGCCCCGACAAAATCACAGAAGTGGCATATCCATAAAATACGTCCTAATAAAAATAAACCATAAACTGAGGCTATTAGTGGTTAATACCAGCCATTCTGAGAGCCCTACCCTGTCTGTGTGAAGCTTCTCTTAATGACACTCTCATACTTTCTCCTGCAAACTGCACTGAACTGCGTTGGTGAGCTCTGTGGAGGAAACAGGGTGTTTACCTGTTAATTACAATGTGTGCATAACGGCCAAGCCAGGACAGGCTTTAAGTGCCTGGACAGTTGGTTTGTGGAGCCAGGGTGCTGGGTGTAGGAGGGAAGACGGGTCAGGGTGGTGTCTTTATTGTGTGTGTGTGTTTAGCAGTGTCAATTTTAAAGGGTCTAATAGGTCTTAGGAATGGTCCTAGACTTCAACTTGTATGTCATAAAATCCTCATTTAAAAGTAGGACTTTCAATACAGAAGCTAAAGCTACTTTTAGTGAAATTTAGGAGTGATTGTTCAGTCTGCAGTGACAGGACTACAGTTATGTCTACCCATAATGTCCTTCTTTAATCAGCCAGTATCTTAGATCCTACATTTGCCCTGCTGTTATGTTGACAATATCAGTGTATTTTTCTTCTTACTGGACAGATAGCTGAAACAGTTAATCGATTATCAAAATAGCTGTTCATTACTTTTCTAACATTTGACTCATCAGTTAATCCACTGATCTAGTGATTCCCAACCTTTTTTCTTAAGGGACCCCTTTCTATCATTGAGTAAACTGACGACCCTAGCTCAAGTGACATATTTTATGGATTTTAACAGTACAGAGCAACTGATAAACAGTGCAATGAACCCAATAACTGCAGGAAGTTTGTGAAAACCAGCAGTTTACATGAATTTTTAGCAGATTCTGAAGGTTTGGGGAACTTTTTTTTACTATCTAAACAAACAATTTAATTTAGTTTTCTTCACAGAATTAGACCTACACAGGTCTACATATTTTCATGTTGTCTTAGACACCCCGTCAGCATCCTCATGGCAGCATCATAAATCTTTTCATGTTATATTTAAGTAAGAGTACTTGGGAAAAGACCATGTACATGTAAGACCATGGAAAGGTTTATGTTTGTCCTGTATAATTGATTCTAAAATTTAAGAGCAGAATATCATCAGTCTAAAAATCTTGACACCCTGGTGCTCTGAACTCTAGTGTAACATGGAGGTGTGCAGTGCTGCTTCTACCACTAGGTGGGGCTGCACATTAACGTCCCTGCTCAGGGGCTGGCAGAGGGATCTGGAACTGCAAACTAACTGAGGTTTTTGAGGTAAACACCAGAAAAACAAACTGCAAGAGTATAAGCAACAGCGACTATTTGATTGAAATATAACAGTAAATGATGGAGGGCATGAAGATCTTGACCAAACAGAGAGCAGAGCAATGTTTACAATGTTTATGAAGCAAACTTGCAACTTAGCAGTAACTTCATTAAAAAACCCCAAACTTGATCTTTAGTAACTTTACACAAACACTTAAACTCCTCGGAGCTGTTTAGGAGCTAGGTGGAAGCAACATGCCTAAGAAGCCACTCTTTTGATCTGAAGAAAAGCACTTTTTTTGTTATGACTTCCATCTTCATTGCCTGGTGTCTTCGCTGACAGCACGGATGCAAGGTTTATGTGGCTGATTTACACTCCCAACAGATGCATGGCTGCATTACGCTGAAAAGAAGCTTTTTGGGGTTTACATCTACAGTGTGAGTGTAAAGGAGTAAAGCAGGAACAAAGCAGTCACTACAAAGCCCACTGTCACCATTGACTAGTAAATCAAAGGCATTTCTACGCTGGTGTTACAGTGTATCATCTTATGCCAGCGCATTGGTTTAATTGGGACCAAACCAGATACATTTGTAGCAAAAAATGCCTCGATTAGGGGGCCCTAAGATGTGAGATCATGTGAACAGACCACCTGTGGGGCTTTCATTGCTATTTCAATATCATTCATGTCAAGGCCCCTGCACTCGCTGACACAGCTTGAGCCGAGGGGAGAAGATGTTTCAATTCAGGCTTGGCGAAAAAAACCAAACACAAGACGCAGGGGCTCTGGCAGGTTTCAGCTCTGACAAACCCAGAAAAGCGAAGGGGTTTCCAAAACGCTCTTTCAATTGTGGGACGTCCATCAAAGCATCCAAATGGGGACGTTTAGGGGGAACCTTGGCACATCAGACAGACACTCCTAATACACACCACCTTTATTCTAGACTGTTAAAAAAAGAAAGATCAAAGTTTCTGCAGATGAAAAGGGCCTGTTCCCTGCATTTATACCCCCCATTCACCCACTCCCTCTTTTACTAAATTAAGAAAGCGGGCTTCGGCAGGCATGTGAAGAGGACTTTTAACAATTATGGAGATGCTCCAACTCAACCCCTGCCTCTAATTACTGGTCTCTGATGGTTAAAAGGGCCTTCCTTTTTAGCTGGGGCTCTCATAAGCTGCTATTGCTGCTCCCATCCTCAACACGGTGACCACAAGGAGCCACAAAAATATGCCACAAAACAGCACAGCCTCCTTTTTGCGTGGGGGAAGCAAAGTTACACAGACATTTGAGATTTATCAAATGTTTTATTGTCAAAATAAAGGTCATATTTAGCTTTCTCACAAAAAGAGACATCTACACTTTGTACAAATTTACAATAGCTTATAAAGTTTTCTTTTATACACAAATGTACACATTTTTTACATAACTTTTATATAAATACATTTGAAATTACAAAATGAATGACCCGTAAAATACGTGGGCACTATTAAGGCTTAATTTAAACCATCTTTGATGTGATTGAATGATACAATGTTATCTGGCACTATGTAGATAAAATGGCAATAGAAAACCCCAAATGCTCTTTGTGTGAAGCTAGTTAGGAACAAAAGTGTCTCTCTGCCTACAAGTAATGCCCAGTTTGCGTTAACAGCCTCAGTCTGTACCTCTAATACATATAAACAGGGAGGAATTAAACCTGTGTGAATGCCAGGTACATTGTTTCAGCCAGCTCTCCCCACAGAGGTGTGTGTGGATGTTCATTACTATGCAAATTGCTTAAGACAGGGAGTGATGGGTTATCTCCCAAACAATTATCAGTCCACATAAGCTGCTTTTTCTCCCCAACCCTCCCCACCCCC